TTGATTTCTCCACCAATTCGCCATTCGCCAACCATATTTGGCAAAGTCTCGGCTTAATGACCGCACATAAATTGTAATTGAGGTTCGACCGAATCACGTTCGCTGCGCTGCCATCAGCAATTATATCGGCAGAGTTCGGTTAATCGGGTTTTTATGTGCGTGATTTGTAATTGATAAAAGGTATTTAACAATACGATTAATGTAGACAAGGCCAACCGATCAATGTCGCTTAGTGCTCTTTTAATGCGCTTTCAAAAAAATATTAAGCTTTTCTTGTAAAAAAAATCTCAATGAATTAAGCAGTAAATTTATTTGTAAATGAAAAGAATTGAAAACTGCACATTTAAACAAATAGTCCACTTCTTTCCTGCGATTAAAGACTTACTACAAATTTGTGTTGGTAATTTCTTTAACTTTTAATTATGTGATAACTTTTCTCAAAATTTTTGACTAAAACTAGGGGTAGCTAAAGCAGTATTTGTATTAAGAGACATTTAGGGGTAACATTAATATAATTACTCATTCAGGGGGCATAGTTTTGATTAGCTTAAAGATTTTACTTTTGTAAATTAAAATATGTTTCGTTTTTCTCGAAGGGTAACCCATTTATTAAATTGTTGTTTTCTAATATGTTCCTTGAAAGCAAAAAAATGATGATCTGCCAATGCAAATAAAACACCCAGCTATAAATCAACTTCAAAAAAGTATCTATTTCAGTGGATTTTGAAACTTTTGTTAGCTAACAAAGAGACGGCTATTAAACGAATACCCACCACCCAAAAAGCCATGTATCATGATAAATGGCCAGTAAAAGACGCAGTTTCCAGTTCCCAGCTAACTGGCGCTATCAATGCCCCTTGGCGCGTTATAGTATATTCGCTAAACTATTTTTATTCATTTTCATATTTTGCACATTTTTTGTGGGTTTTCCATTTTAAGGGTCTGCGGTACAGTTGTTGCGGTTTTGACTACTTCGGTTTCAGTTTCGGTTTCGGCGGCTGTATGGCCCTGCCTATTTATAAGCGCGAACCTCATTAGTTTTAAGTGAGCGAAAGCTTAACTACTTGTTTTGAGTTTTGAATGAGGTCACTTTGCCCCGGCCCAGCCGTAGCTCATCATTTGAGTTATTTTTATTCAAGGCTGCCAGGAGGGACAGACACTACACTATATCCTAGGCCGCATACACCATACACCACACCCATTCACGAGGCAGATACGGACATATAGATAAGGACAGAGGCGGAGAGGTAAACTGAGTTCTGTTCTGTTCTGTTCGGTCTCAGTCTCAGTCCCTGTTCATATCTGGTCTGGTTAGTTCAGTTCAGTTCGCCTCGCTGGACTTAGTCGGGCGCGTTATGTTTGTGGCTTAGGCAAACAGCTTCCGTTAAATGCTGCATAATTAGTTGCCATCTCCAGGTCCCATGCTGCCCCCAAAGGCACCGCCCCCTTTACTTCCACCTCCACAATCCACGTCACATGGCAAACGACAAGGGGCAAAGGTCGCACGCAATGTTTGCCTTTGCCGCTGCCTTTTGCTTGACCTACTTTGATGTGTGAAATGTCCCAAAGAAGCCTGCTTCTTTGCACAGAGAAGCGAATAAAGAAATATAAACAAAGCAGGTTGGTTAGCCTGCGATAACCGAACCATCTGACGCCCTTCCGGTTAATTTGAAATATGCTACCAAACCACTGCTATAATTTCCGATAAGTGTCAAATATTACATTGATTTCAAAATGTTCTACCACGGGCTGGGAGAAAAATAAATCACATTTTCACTTGCGAAGCTGCCATTTTATTTTCAGATAAGAGCCTTAACGTGTACCACTTAGGTGGCTTTAAACAGCTGTCAAAACTTTTCCACTTGAGAGAAAAATTGTTAATTAGCTGTGCTTAAAAGTATACGGGGATAGGAGTAGGTGGTTCCAAAAGATATTCGTTAGCTTACGGGGCAATAAAAGTTTCTTTTAGCTATTCGCTGATTCGACATAATAATTATTTGCATTATTCCAAAATGAAGCTTTACTAAATAAAAAAAATATTTATAAAATTAATTTTCCTTTTTATAGTTTACCTAAAATAAAAATGGCAAATGTATGAATATAAATGTAATTATTAAATTAAGCAGCAATATAATTACCTTTAAACATTTTTGTCATTAACTTTCAGTTATTTCGGTTAATAAAGGTATTAGTAATATTTCAGTTAGACGACACCAAAATGTTCTATAAAATTAACATACTCTGTTCAAGGGACACAAAGGGAAACTATTAAACTAGAGCGAGCGCTTATATCGTGGCATGCCCTGAGACCAAAAACCCACACCTAAATCTAAATAGATGGGGGAGTATGAACAGGATAATACTTATGCATAAACAGGGACTGGACATGAAAAGGACAGGAAAAAAAACAATTAGAATGGTTGTTTACACGCAAACCAAGTAAGAAATATGAAAATTGTCGTCAGAAGTAGGAAGAAAAGGGGGTTTGGGGAAAAGTAAAGGAAACGACAAACAGCGAAAACGAGTTTGCCATGTAAATGAATGAATGGGAGAATGAATAACTGAATGAATGAATCATTTATATGGTCAACGTGGATACACGTATGTATATCACCCCCACATGAGGGAAAAAGCGACGAGGAGGGGGCTCACCATCTTGAATTATTCATTGTCATGAATGAATCTTGTTTAATTGATAAATGCCATGGAATGGGGATTAATAAAAAGAAAAATGAAAAAATATTATCCAGGTGGAGACATAAATTACCTAGGGGATTGAGTATGGAAATTAAATTAAGTAAATTACTAAAAATCGTTATAATAAATCAAACGACAATGTATTTGAATTATTTTAAGTCGATCTAAAAGGTAAAATAATGTTTAATAAAACTCTTAAATAGTTTAAAATTGCTACAAAGACACTTTTGATTAAGCGATACAAATAATAATGAACATATAAAATTGAATTTTAAAGGAGCTCGGCAATCAGGATAAACATATACGTCTATAAATTATTCAATAAGGAAATACAGTCAATTTTTGTGATAAATTAATACTCGATAGCCACGCCAACGCATCAATTTCCGCACATAAATCACAAAACAAATTAATAATTTCAATAATTACCTTTAAATAAAGACAGACACATTAATTACAGGAAATTCGCTATTAATAACTTCTTAAGGGCCGTTGCTTAGCATAGGCATAATCAATACTTCCCGCCGGCCATCAAGCAAAAACCTATTTATGCATGCATATTTATCGAAGAGTGACGGAGAATATAATTTTCTTGGCAACTGGCTAATTCACTTTCCCATCTCATCCCATTCCATTCCACTCCACCCACAGTGTGAGCCCGGTTTGGGCGCCAGCGTGATGTACAATCTGCTCTACAATAGACCGCAAAAACTGATGCTGCTGGCAGGATGCAGCACGGTCTGCACCACTGTGGCCGAGGCTGCCAAAATGTGGAATCTCATTGTGGTAAGTGGCAGTTGCATAACGCTAGCTGTTGGTCTGCATTAAAATCATCGTTTTTGTTTTCGAAATACCTGCAGCTCTGCTATGGTGCCTCCAGTCCGGCTCTGTCGGATCGCAAGCGGTTTCCCACTCTATTCCGCACCCATCCATCGGCCACGGTGCACAATCCCACTCGCATCAAGCTGATGAAGAAATTCGGCTGGTCCCGGGTGGCCATCCTGCAGCAGGCCGAGGAGGTCTTTATATCGGTTTGTTATAGCATTTGGATCTCCCCAAACTATTTGTAATACCAATTGAACCAATTGCAGACCGTAGAGGATCTCGAGAATCGATGCATGGAGGCTGGCGTTGAAATCGTAACTAGACAATCATTTCTTTCCGATCCAACAGACGCCGTGCGCAACTTGCGACGCCAGGATGCACGCATCATCGTGGGACTCTTCTACGTGGTGGCCGCCAGAAGGGTACTATGCGAAATGTACAAACAGCAGCTGTATGGCCGGGCCCATGTATGGTTCTTCATTGGTAAGTCCTTAAAATCTTGAAATCAGGGATTTATGTATTGTGACTTGAGTATCATGTGAAAGCATTGAAAATTAAAACTACAAAACTGTATGCGCTTAAATTTCAAAGAAAGTCAGAGAAAATAATAAGTAATAGTTTCCAACAAGTAGAGCCACCCTTTATGGAAAAACAATTTACCTAATATTTTATATATTTTTCGGCTATTGGCATTGCAGCTAACTTTATCTATATAAAATTTATCTCACATTGTTTTTTAGGCTGGTACGAAGACAATTGGTATGAGGTCAACTTAAAAGCCGAGGGCATAACCTGTACAGTAGAACAAATGCGGATAGCTGCCGAGGGACATCTGACAACAGAGGCTCTCATGTGGAATCAAAACAATCAGACAACTATATCTGGAATGACTGCAGAGGAATTTCGGTAAGTCTGAGCACGTGAATTATAAAAAATGTTGACTAAATATTTCCCAATTTCAAACAGACATCGACTGAATCAGGCATTAATCGAAGAGGGCTATGACATCAATCACGATCGATATCCGGAGGGTTATCAGGAGGCACCTCTGGCATATGATGCGGTGTGGAGTGTGGCTTTGGCTTTTAACAAGACTATGGAACGTTTGACAACCGGCAAGAAATCGTTGAGGGACTTCACCTATACGGACAAGGAAATTGCCGATGAAATCTACGCTGCCATGAACTCTACGCAGTTTCTGGGTGTCTCGGTAAGTAGTAAACCTATATAAATTGAAACTATATAAATATATATCCTAATATACTTTTTTGTAGGGCGTGGTGGCATTCAGTTCTCAGGGCGATCGTATTGCTCTTACTCAAATCGAACAGATGGTGAACGGCAAATACGAGAAGTTGGGCTACTACGATACCCAGTTGGATAATCTATCGTGGTTGAATACGGAACAGTGGATTGGTGGCAAGGTAAGCATAATAGTGGCCTTTGGAATATCATTCCTGTTATTACTGCTAGCCAAATCGAAACAATGTCTGACGAAGATAAAAAACAAGAAGATGACAAGGATTCTGTACCTGGTAATGAAAGAAAACGAAAATCGACAAGAGATGGGAGTAATACTGAAGGATCCTCAGTGAGTTTTGGTCAGAAAAAAGACGAATCCAAAGGACCGTCGACTTCTTCAGTTAATCTTAAGCATGGTCCAAAAGTAGCAGCCAAACCGAAAAAATCATCAATACGGTCATCAAGTTCTGAGGCGGTTAAAAATACAGTTTCTCAAAATCATGAAGATGAAAAGCCTGGATTTTCCAAATCATATGAGAAAATAAATTTGGGAAGCTATAGATATACAAGAGAAGGTAAAATTGTCATTGACAATAACAAAGATAAAGAAGATCCAAAGCCGTCATCTCGGTCCGGAAAAGCACCGCCTAAAAATTTGGAGGATGAAGAGCCACATACATCAAGACGGAAGCAAAGGAAAACCAAACCGGATAACGATGATGGTTTCACATCAACAAGGCGACATAGAGAGACATTTGATTCATTTGATAGGGAAACGTATTTGGCTGATATGATAGATTATGAGCGCTCTTCAGAGGGAATACCACCAGATAGCACTGAAAAGAAGCAAAGGTGGAAGCCAGACAGTTCTCTAAGACATCGATATGCCAGCAACCATGAAACTAAATCTAAATTAAGTTTTCAAGGAGAGGAAGAAGGAGACGAAATCGATTCAGTTGGATCTGCGACCATGCGAAGTAGTAGCTTTCGTCGATCCAGAACTGATGATAATCGGTCCGTGATCCTGGCTGAAGTGATCGATATAGGAAGATTAGAGGAGCTAAGGGATCAACAAGAATCGAATAAAGACCAAAGAAATGACAGAACTATTGATGAAATAAAAGGTTATAAGACCACAGGAACTTGCAAAAGTCATGTTGATGAAGTTAAATGGAGGGAAACCTCTAGTGATGAAGATAGTAATGCGTCCGTAAAACACAGAGGCACCATCACGAAAATCTCTCGTGCTGCTCAAAGAGTAGAAGAGGAAAGTTTGAAGACTGATGAGGATGGTGAGACTCCTCCTCCGGAAACAGAAAAAGAGTTGCGGCCAAAAAGACGATGGACTTTTCCCATAACAGATACATTTTCTGAGATCCCTGGGGAACGCCAGCCACTGAGAGAAAACCAAAAGGTAAAAATAGGAAAGAGAAACAAAAAAATTCGGTCTATCGGAGTCAACACAGAAATAAGTAGAAAACCTCCCAAATTAGGAGACACCGCAATGCCTGGAGAAACTGATTCGGGAGTATACCACGACGATGGAAAAATGCGAGATATAGGCCAAGTCACTGAAAGAGTCTATACACATCGCAAGAAAATTATATATAAAACTGATTCAGATGATTACTCCTTAGATATAGAACTCTTGGATGATCGAGTAAGAGAAATTGGAGTCAATACTAGAAAGCTACCCAAAACCAATTATCCGCCTATATCAAGGATGTACTTTCATGATGGAGGAAAATTAATTGACGTAGGATCGAACACAGATAAGTCCTACAAGCCCATCGACGACGGAACAGAAGTGATCTATATGAATCCCATTATGTATGACAACTCAATATTGAACAGGCTCATTGTGGACCCACCGCCGGATAATGATCCCTACAAAATGCCAGCTAAAGATGATAGACGTGCCTACTACAAGGGCTGTGAATATCATTTTCCGGGAAGAACTGGTTGGCGCAGACTGTTCTACAACAGAACATTTGGAAAATATGAACTGCGCCGTCCAAGTCACTTTCTTTATACACTGATCTTTGCGACATGCTATATTTTATTTATACTGCTTTTTTCCATGGCCTGGTTCGATTATGTAACAGATGAAGCTCACACAAAATCGCCCGTGCTTAAGATGTCCCAACCTTCTCTTACTTTTGCTCCTATCGGACCTCGAACTAATCCCAAAGCGATCTCATTCGATCCGCAGAACAATACTGAAATCTTGGAAAAGTACGCTGGAATAATGGCTCTGTTGCAAAAATATGGCGACACTGGACAAAGTCCACGGTTTGGGACATGTAACGCCTACGAAAACTTTGGATATCCTAGCGGTGAACCGTGTGTTTTTCTTAAAGTAAATCGGTTAATTGGCTTTAAGACCGAACCATTCACTGATTCCGATGAGCTTGTGAAGGCCAAGCTTGACGAGGCCGACTTTGCGGCTTTAAAGAGTCTATTGCAAAACACCACATCGGAGGAGGAACGCCAGAATCGCACTTGGATAACTTGCCGTACGGATATGGACAAGAAGATTGAAATTGAATTTCATCCAGAACCGGCGTTCAGAACGGAATACACCGATATTAAAGAGAAAATTGAGTATATCTTGGATAAAGATAAGAAATCTTTCTTCGGCCCAAACGATTTGAATCGCATAGTGGCCCTTAAGATCAAGAATCTAAAGGCAAACGAACGTGTCCAAGTAAACTGTAAAATGTGGGCTCAAAACATCCATTACAACCAAGAGGGTTTTGGTCAAATCTCGTTCTATGTGCTTTTAGCCAACGACAAAAATCGAGAAAGGGTGGAGAAAGTACTTAGACATCATGATTCATTGTAAAGCAAATTTGTAAAAATAGTTTGTTCATAAAATATGCAAATAAAATATAAATTCGTTTGTTATATCATCAATTGGTGAAACATATTTTAAAAAATTGTATTTGCTTAAATTTTATTAAAGGTTCCTCAAGATCGCACAATTGTCACGCATGTTCTACGCACCGTGTCCTTGCCATTATTTGTGTGCATGTGCACCATCTCCAGTTGCGGCATCTTTGTCGCCTTCGCCTTGATCATCTTTAATATATGGAATAAGCATAGAAGGTAGATTGTCGATATAAAGTTTCACCTTTCTGGGATTAACTCATTTCATTTACTTTCAGAGTAATACAATCCTCGCATCCCGTTTGCAATACGATCATGTTATTTGGAGTCATCATCTGTCTAATATCTGTCATACTACTGGGTATGGACGGACGCTTTGTTAGCCCCGAGGAATATCCAAAGGTGAGAGTTCTATACGCAAAATACCCTTAAAATTCAATATCTAAATTAAATAAATTATTTTTCCCATTAGATATGTCAAGCTCGAGCTTGGTTACTATCCACCGGTTTTACATTAGCATACGGTGCTATGTTCAGCAAGGTCTGGCGTGTGCACCGATTTACAACAAAAGCAAAAACTGACCCGAAGGTGGGATTACCAAAAGTATTCATAAGGATATAATAAACATTTTTGTATTTGCAGAAAAAAGTGGAACCTTGGAAGCTATACACCATGGTTTCGGGCCTCTTATCAATAGATTTAGTGATATTACTCTCATGGCAGATCTTTGATCCGCTGCAGCGTTATCTCGAAACATTCCCACTCGAAGATCCAGTATCTACTACTGATGATATTAAAATACGTCCAGAGCTTGAGCATTGTGAAAGTCAACGCAACTCCATGTGGTTGGGTATGCCTCAAAAGTCTTTTTCAATCCAAACTGTTGTTATAATTTAATGTCTATTGTTTAGGTCTTGTGTATGGCTTCAAGGGGCTAATCCTGGTGTTTGGTCTGTTTTTGGCCTACGAGACGCGCTCCATAAAAGTGAAACAGATCAACGATTCGCGTTATGTCGGCATGAGCATCTATAATGTGGTAGTTCTCTGTCTGATAACAGCTCCGGTGGGCATGGTCATTGCATCGCAACAGGACGCGTCCTTTGCCTTCGTTGCTTTAGCTGTGATATTCTGTTGTTTCCTAAGCATGCTGCTGATATTTGTGCCAAAGGTTAGCCTAGTCACTCCCTTCGTTTAAGGATGACATAATCTTAGTAATCTATTTTGTCGTGTAGGTCATTGAGGTCATACGTCACCCCAAGGATAAGGCCGAATCGAAATACAATCCTGATTCGGCGATATCAAAGGAGGATGAAGAACGCTATCAGAAACTTGTTACCGAAAACGAGGAATTGCAACGATTAATAACACAGGTAAGATAATGCATTGAAATAGGAAATTAAGTGCACAATTGTTTATTACATATTTATTTTACAACATCAACCTAAAAGAATTTCGGCCTAATCATCATTTGAACAAAAGTAAATGAGTAATATTTCCAGTTACCCCAATGAATGCCATTAAGAGTGTATGTTTCTCCTTCTTTAAAATACAATCCATTGAGCGAGCTGTAAAATAAAGGGTTTGAGTTAGGAAATGTTTTACAAGTACGTTTCCAATTTAATGTGTTTACCTTGACAGACAATTATGATACCACCAACCACCGCCATGCTCGGCTGCGCAATTTTTTCTAGAGTCATCATTATCATTATCGAAAGTCGAGAACTTCTTATCTTTGTGGTATTTAAGAGAGTCTCCAGCTGTTCCAGAAAATTGTCCCAGCCTTTCCAGCTTATATAATTCCTTTTCACTGCCCACTTTGAAGTCGTCGAAGTGAGCATACACTGTGTCGCCATTAAAGTGCTTTAGTTGAATGAAAAGATCATGTGGTTGTTCTGCAGTCATCAAGTGAAGCTTTTGGAGGCCGATAAAAAACTCTCCTCTCTCATTCCCGAATCCATTTTTGTAATTAGTCCAGGATTGGTTGAAACTAACGCTTCCATCAAGTCGTCTTTGAATGACTGTCCAACCGGCTGCTGCCGATTTGCACTGGGTCACTTGGAAAGGCTCTACTCCCGGCACCTTCATTTGGTACATACCGCTTGGACTGCCACTGGGGCAAGTGTCTGATAGATTTTCTCCGAGATTTGTTTGAGATTTCGAATTTTCTAACCGGCTTTGCAATTCCTTCACTGTGTCTTCCAATGAACGAATTTTATTATTGAGTTCATCACAATATCCGTTGCACTGTGCCACCAAGATCTGATTCGAACCTGACTGTGGAAAGTTATTTTCTGCACTACCCAAAGAATGATCTCTTGGAAACAGAAACCACACAAAAAACACCACAAAGCTCGAATGCATTCTGTTGAACATCCGTACTAAAGCAAATTCCGTGGTGAACTAAAGTACAATTGTGTATTTGGGAGCTTACACTTGAAAACGTACGACCTTATCTACTATTAAAATAAGTTCGAATAAATCTCACTTTTGTTGTTTATTTGAGCACGACTATCTTCACTGAAAAAAAAAATCTAGTAAGACGAGCCTTAAAATGGAAAGCAGCTAGTTTCCATTATAGTATCAATTGGATACTAAATAGTGATAACCAAATACAAAATAGTTTAAAAGGAGCAATTTTATTTCCAATAGTATTTAAAAAAATGTTTACCACTCAATGTCTAAAACTGTTTAGATTATTGATGCAAGTTTTTTCGGGTGTATTAGTTATAAATAATCAAATCTCAAACTGTAAAGTTCAGTACACTTATACTATTTAATTTAATTTATATATTTAATTAAAATTAAATGTATGTGTGGTTTTTCATTGCAGAAGGAGGAAAAGATACGAGTCCTGCGACAGCGGCTGGTGGAGCGGGGCGACGCCAAGGGCACAGAACTGAATGGAGCAACAGGTGCCGCCGCTGGCGCCGTCGCGACAACTTCGCAGCCCGCTTCCCTCATCAACTCATCTGCACATGCCACGCCCGCAGCCACACTCGCAATCACACAAGGTGAGTAGTACTGAACCCAAACCCATCCATCAAAAGTTCCCCGTAGCCAGTTGCATGTGGTACTCGGTATTTGCATCGTTGGTTTAGCTTGACGTTCATAATCGTAATGTTCTCAATTTTAATTAGAAATTTTAGCTATTTTCGTGGGCATTGACACAATTGATTAGGAACAACAGTAAAAATGGAGTTCAAAGGTTATTTGCTTACATATGTTAATGCAATGAAAACTTATTATCAGCACTTTACAAAACTTGTGTCTCACTTGTAAAGCAATAAACCCAATATTTTAGTTTTGAATGTAAACCGTAAAGCATTTAACTATATTTAGCACCATTTATTTAAAACTTACACAATTCCTTTTATCTTACCGTTCAATACTAACATTTCTTTACTCTGAATATGCATAATATTTATATTACTTTTCTAACAATCTTGAACAGCCTCTTTTTGGATATAAAAAATGATTAATTCTTAATAAATTTATTTTGCAGATACTCATGAGCATCGTACATGAAAAAACTTGTCAATTTCCTTTGCGTGATAGGTGAATTATACAGAAAATATGAAATGCAAATAATGATGCTAACGGAAGATGGATTTAATAAAAAACGCGTACTTAATAAACTTTGTATCAACTTTAAGCTGAGCTAAATAAGTGAATTGGTAGCAGCAATTTTGTAGAATAATGAAATATGTATTGTACCTTAAACGTGTTTAGAATTAATATTGAAAACGAAATACTTTTAACTTAAAAAAAAACACGACATTAGCATCTGAACTAAGCGAATTGTTAGGCTTTAAAGTTGAAATACAAAAACCAAAAACTCTATTAAGAAAATACCTAAAAAAAGAAAATGTTAAAGTTAGTCATTTTTAAAAGCAAGATGAAAAAACAAGTTGTTGTTTTTTTTAGTAAATACTGTACTGTTGACTTAAGCGAGTTTTTTGTTTGAACCTCTGTTGCTCAGTGCTGTCTCCTAGAGCTCTCTAAAATGAATCTGCATAGATGAAAACCCCAAATGGCGGCCTTCTCCTCATTCTTAGTTTTGATTTACGTGTCTTTTCCGAACCAGGTCGCGGCAATACAAACCAAACTCCTAGACTCCGGGAATCAAACTATGGAACCCTGTCATTCTCGACTGGGTATTCGGTTTGATTCCCAATATGTTAGCTAAGTTAGCTTTAGGCACTTTGTATAGATCCATGTGTGTGTGTGACGTGTAAGTGTGTCCTCGATAAAAGTTTTAATAGTTTACATTTCAGCAAATCGTAAATAGCACAAATCGAATGAAAAGTCTAGCAAATATTAGATAATGAAAGGATATGTATACATTTAGCTTAGACTAGTGTAGCATGAAAAGTTAATATAATATTATGGGTGGGTTAAATGCTCAAGAAACGTTTTAATTTTTATGTACTGTTATACATAGACAATTAAATGGTAATGAAAAATTTTTGAACCTACTGTAAGTTCTAAAATTGCATTTATAAAGTATATAAATTATACACACAGGAAATGAAGAGAAACCGAAAATAGTTGAGGGCGTCGTTATATAGGAATTGACTTTATTTAAACTAAAACTAAACTGAAACCTATTGACAAAATAATTAACTCACTCACTTGCATAACATAACATTCTATCACTCACTCACCCTTCAACGAAGTCAAATCTTTTAAATTCAATCTCACTCACATTCAAAAAATTTAACAGAAGGGGGAAAAATCCATCACAAAAAGTGCTATAAGAAACATACATACATAGAAAACATCAAATTCCTACGAAATGAAAGACTTTAAAATCTAAGCCGTTAAATAAAAGGAAAACCAAGCAAAAGAAATGAATACTATACACACGATAAACAATGATTATATATAAAATATTGAAATATATATATGAAATTTACACATGGCAAAGATCATCTCTAGTACATTGATATTTGTTAAGGATCGTTGGAATTTGTAGTTTAATTGGATTGTATTTCATATACATATAGGGAACGCTGTTAGGGTAGACGTGTAACTCGAGATCATGTATATTGTATATAGAGCATTTAGCTGCGCCTCCAAAACACTACAGAAAATGAAAACCACAACAGCAACCAAATCTGCAATTGCAACAATTTAATCGACTCTTATTTTAAAATCCGAATCAATATTTTGCTTTTGTCTCAAATCACAGCCGAAAGAAGAACTTTTAGTAAAGTAAGACACAGTTTAGCCAAGCTAATTGTTGTATAAATACGAGTAAATAGAAAAAGCAAAGGTAAAATAAATCCAGATTTATTTCAAGTGAAAACACAAAAAAAGTGAAAATCTACTGTTAGTGACAAATTAAATATGAACCACAAAATGGTAGCAATATGCAGGAAAAACAAAAGGTCAAAGTAATGAAAAACTCGGTATGTTCTTATGAATGTAACATTAACGAATTAATTTAAAGTTTAATAAAACGGAATAAATGAAAATTTTACTGAATAAAAACACAAAACAGAATTATTCAAGTGCTTTATCAATGGTGGGCTCTTATTCTTAAATTATTAATGACTTTTTGTCTTTATTTATTCCATGTGAAAATTATGTCATTGGGTTTAATTCATTTAAAAATCAAATCCTTATCTACTATTTTTATATAAGTAAATAGGTCAACGAAGTCTCACTTTTGTCTTATTTGTTCGGCACAAGTTTTTATACAGCACAAATAATCAAATCAATTTTTAAAAAATATTTTTGCAGAGGCTAGTAAACTTTGAATTTTAGCTTTATTTGTGTGTTTACTTTTTACTTCATATAAATAGTTTCGATTTCGACGGTTTGTATTTCAGTGGGAATGTACAATTTTAGTAAGTATATTTTTCTTACATTTACAAGTTCATTTGCTTTAACTTATTCAGTCTTAATAATTTGACATCTTCCACAAATTATTTCTGAAAATGCAAATCGTTTTTAAAAGCAAACATTTTATTTTGCACCCCACTCGTGCTGTATTTTAATGAGGGAATCAATAACCTTTATTCATTAAAACGAGGTTTGAATTATTTATGCAATTTTAATATTTTTTTAAATTCTTGAACTCTTTGCGATAAAAAATGAGTGGGCATATTTAGGAAAAATAAATGATAAAAACCTTAAGGTATTTAATATCTTTTCTTTTTATCATTTTATTTGAAATCCTTGTTGAATTTGAATCCACTAATGTCACATCTTTTAATTTTGTTTTACTAAAAAGCAATTGCTGACCCATTATTTCTTAACTGTTATTGTGGGGTTCGCTGTACAGTTAATTATATTCCAGATGCGCTTTTAAAATATTGCCAAATAAACTCGCTATCATCTTCCTTCCGCTTATGTTGCTAATTTTAACCCCCAACTCAGAGCAGTTTCCATTAACACCCAGCTGGGTATTTGATATAACAGATTATAACAGAGCAGGGTCCGATCTCCGAGTGGTGAGCTTAAAGCTTCAGCCGAATTGGTTTCAAGCCAACATATTAAGCCCAACTCCGATCCCAGCTCTTGCAGTTAGCGTTCTCAACTCGAATCGAACGGAGGTACTCATCGAACTGTTGAATAGCGAAATCCCGAAATGAACCCCCTGGGAATGGTGAGTCTGGGCCTGGTCTTGTGCCTGATAGGCGGTTTTAGCCGGAGTGCATCGGCCAAGCTGGAGGAGAAATTCTCGTGGAAGCAGCTGGCCTTCGATTGGCCATCTCCGGAGGCCGAGGCAGAGGCCAAGTCGAATGGCCACTACATCGAGGAGAACAACCTGCCACTGGGCGTGGAGCGCTGGCAAAACAGAATCTTTGTCACTGTGCCAAGGTAAATTACCATATTCATAACCGAAAACCGACAACAATTTCGTGATTACCTCTAGTTAACTTTTCTTTTTTTATTAAATATTTACCTTTTTTGTTGGCTTTGTTGGTAATTAAATGTCAAGCTAGACTTGCAAAACGATCGAGCGTCAAGAGGGGAAACCGGTTTCCTCGTTGGATAGTTAACTTTATTATTTTTTTTCCTTTGTATAAGACTATTTTGCATTTCAAATAGTGGTTTCTAAATGCAAATCTTGGCATGAAATTAATTATAATTTAATAAGAGAAAACACATGACCGGAAAATTCTATGGAAAATAACCGACCCCATTAAACCAGAACTTTTCAAAAACTAGTAAACAAACTCATTTTGTGACGTCATCTCTTTTCGGGACTTACCCACGATGCGCTTAACGACGAAAAATACCCCAAAACAAATCACATTTTCGGGAGCTATGAGTAACCGATTAATAAAAATATCAAACAAATCGTATCTCTGTGTCTAATCAACTAAAATAAATTAGATTTTTTAAAGTAAAGTATAATCAACCAAAAGAAAAGATATTTTTTACAAAAATTAATTTTAAAATGAACACTTTAAAGTTAATTAACAAACTAAATGTTCTTTTCTTATTCAATGATCCGACGAAGTTTCACTAAAAAGTTTCAGGTCGACAATTAACTAAGCGAAGCAATTAATGAACGCAAATGACTTTAATCTATAAAGCCAAGCCTTTAATTATAAGTCATAGTCCAGTCTTAATAATTACAGAAGTATTTACCAATCAACTCTGATTTAAAGTTTTATGAAACCGGTTGGTTTAGTGATGTTTGCCAATATTAGTCTAAATAGGTATTAAAAAGGATTATTTTTATAACGCTAGTATTTTTTCAAGATTGTGCTTAGTTTCAAATTTTAAATAATGTTCTATTTAAATCGTAGGTGGAAAGCTGGTGTTGCCGCCACCCTAAACTACATCGATCTCAATTCGACAGAGAAGTCCCCGAAACTGCATCCGTATCCCAGTTGGGAGGCCAACAAGCTGCCCATTGATGTGAAGCCTCAGGATCAGAAGACTCCATCGGGCGGACGACTGGATGCTGATAAGGCTCAAGATGCCGGCATTCAGCTGAAGGACAACTCGACCATAATCTCTACCTTCAGAATTCAGGTGGACGTGTGCGATCGCCTGTGGGTTCTCGACACAGGTCTTGCCGACATTCTGGGCAGTCCCAAGCAGATTACTCCCAATTCGATTCTGGTCTTTGACCTGAAAACAGATACGTTGGTGCGTCGCTTCACCATTCCCGCTGATCAATCCAAGGAGGACTCATTCTTTGCGAATATTGTAAGTACAAATTGGCGCAAAATGAACGTAAAACTCATAAATGTACTTCATCCCTAGGTTGTGGATGCGGACCGCTCGGAGTGCCAGGATGCCTTCGCATATATCCCCGACTTGGGAGCCTATGGCGTGATTGTGTACTCACTGAGGAACGACAAATCCTATCGCGTGAAGCACAACTTCTTCCACTTTGATCCGCTGCAAGGCGATTTCAATGTGGGCGGCGTTAACTTCCAGTGGACGGACGGTGTTTTTGGCCTGGCCGTGGGTCCCATGAATCCGGATCACTCCAAGGACATATATTTCCATGCTCTGGCAAGTACCAAGGAGTTCAAGGTTTCCAACCGAGTGCTGCAGAACGAATCCCATGTAACCACCGGTGATTCCTACTACGACTTTAAGTACGTTGGTGACCGTGGAATGAATGGGCAGTCCACCGCTGAGGTCTTTGACCCCGAGACCGGCGTCATTTTTTACACGCAAGTAAACAAAGATGCCATCGCCTGCTGGAACATCAAGCGCCCGTACACTCCGGACAACCAGGGGCTGATCGACTCCGACTCGCACACTCTCGTATTCCCCAACGATATGAAGATCGACAACGAGGGCACGGTTTGGGTGCTGTCGGACAAGATGCCAACGTATTTGTACAAGGAACTCGATCCCTCAGCCGTCAACTATCGCATTTTGACAGGCCAGAATCGCGATCTCATCAAGGGAACACCATGCGAAATGTGAGCAGATGATATTTGAATCTACATGCTGTGTTTGTGACGCGGTGCATTTTTTATTTACATTATGATATTATTGTTTGTTAGTAAGTCACCTTAATAAACTATTTGAAATGTGATTGGTTGAGTGTGTCATGGAGTGGCTAAGCTAAATATCTGATTTCAGGAGGTTGTCACCAAGTTGCACCTTCTCTCCGGGCTTGAAGGCGGGCATGCCCAGGTAGGGGCAAGTGGAGCAGCGGAAGGCGTCGCCCAGATAGCACTGCATTTACGAGAAATCAGGTATAGTAGGAAAGGGTAGGAATCAATGTGTGAACTTACGTTTCCGCAGCTGGACTTGGCGTTCTCAGTCGGCTTCTGGCTTTGCTTTTCAGTCTCCAACTCCTCGGCCAAACCGCAGGAGCAGTTCTTGCAGGCCTTGCGCTTGCCCGTCGTGCTGCAGACGCGCAGGCCAGCAGGATCCGGCTTCTGTTTGTCCTCCTCGTCCAGCAGATCCTCTTCATCGATCAGCTCCTCATCGTCGCCGCTTATTTTCCACACATTCAGAGCACTGGCATTCTTCTTGGCGAAGGACAGCCTGGCCGAAGAGCCCGTCTCGTAGCCAGGCTTCTCGGCGGTCAGGGCGTCTTGTGCATCCTCGCGGCAGTTGATGAATCCGGACAGCTTGACCTCTTGCAGCAGACTGGATGCCGGTCCAATGAAGGACACCAAGTGGAGCTTGCCACTGGGTTTAAGCATGTGCAGCAGTTTTACGTAACTGTCGGTCAGCTGGGCGCACTCAATCACAATCAGATCGAAGCTGGAGTTGGCATAGGAGGCTGCAATGTAAACCATTGATTTTAATCTGCTGACTCATTGGAATGCCTAGACAATAAAATAAAACACACCGCACGCAAACTTACAAAACGACAGACGGTGCACATTTTCCAGGGCCACCTCGCCACCGGTGGCGGTTTTCAGTTCCTCCACACGCTTGTCCAGGTCTGCGCTATCCGTCCATATATACAGGGATTTTTTTAGACCCTTGAATTGCTCCATGTCTATAAATTTCTAGAATATCTTTAAAGTTCAAGCACCGCGATTTCACAAGTTAGATATGACCGAATAGCGAGAAGCTATCAGTGATTTCGATTGCCACAATCGATAGTGCGCAAAGTGATATTCAGTGATCACTCCTTTTTTGGACTGTTACTTGATCAAAAAGAGTTAATTGAGGTTTGTTTATTAATGTATTGGAAGTTATAAATAATTACCAGTAAATTAATAATTTACAGCTTTTACTTATACTATGTAAGCGTTTTGACCCGAAACCTACATTTTAACCAACTTTGTTCTACATTCACATATTGATTTGCGAATTATCTTTAATATTTACATTTGTGTATATTCCCACAGCCCCTTTGAAATATGCATGAGTCAGTCTGAAGGAGGTTAGTAGCTTGAGTCTTGAATTTTAAATGAGAGCGCCAAAAATCGATATCTTGTAGTGCCCTTAGGAAATCGATGCTAAATATCTTTAGAAGACTTCAAATTATATTGACGTCCTATCAGTTAAATTTGAAATTAAAAATATTGTGTTTAAAATAAACTAATAAAATAAAAGGAAATATGACTAAAATGCAAATAAATGCTTGGTCAGCTTTTAAAAAGACATATTGCCATTGCCGGCCATACCCACAAGTCAGTGTTCTGAAACGCCGAACATATCGCCGGTAGGCAGCGACTATCATAAATAAGAGCTTATCGAACTATCGATACAACGTCAACATCCTCAGTCGCTTTTTTTTAGTTGTAGCATATTATAAATATAACTCGAGCGCTAGTTGCATCGTTAAACAGAAGCCAGCCGCTACGACCGCTAGTCGCTAGTTAAGATCTGCTTAAAAACAAAAATATGTGATTAGTGACCAGAAACTAGCCGCAATCCCAGCCAGAAACGACAACAACAACAAAGCCAATCCGCGATTAAGAGGAAGAGAGTGCGTGAGAGAAACGACAGCTGCTCTGCGTGTGTGTTGGTGCAGGATAACAAATACAAAACATACAACAACAACAAGAACGAACAGTGTCAAAGTGCCAAACGAATTTGCCAAATAATAAAAACAAAATACATAAGCCAACCGCTTCGAATTCCAACCAGTTCAATGCAAAGACATGTGCATAAATGAAGAGCTACAGCCAATTTAATTTAAACGCCGCCGCCCCGCCCGCCATTGCCTACGATAGTTCAGTTGCAAATCTAAATCCCAACGGATCGCCACTCGATCATAGTCACCAGCAACAACAACAACAGCAGCAGCGCCAGGACATGCCGCACTTTGGACTGCCAAGCGGTCCTCAACCGCCGTCGTCGCAGCAGCAGCAACAACTACAAGTGCACCACCAACAGCAGCAGCAGCAACAACAACAGCAACACCAGCAGCAGCAACAACAAATGCAAATGTCCTTGCTACCAGGTCCTTATCGGCCTCACATCGAGGAAAAGAAACTTACGCGGGACGCCATGGAGAAGTACATGCGCGAGCGCAACGACATGGTCATCGTTATCCTGCATGCCAAGGTGCGAAGGGGAATCCGATTTGGGGGGAAAAAAAAACTTTGGGGGATATAAACCACATCGGTGTGGGGTTTTACTTATCTTAAAAAAAGAGTATTCTTCTAAAAAGAAAACTTGAATCTATAAAAACCAAAAGGGTTTTCTTTTTGCTAAGCAAACTTAGCTAATTACAGGAGTAAGGAGTAATATATTGGTAATATGATTACGAGAATAGTTTGTGTAGAATGTTGTACAAAATATTTTTAATTAAGAAGGAGATTAATTTCACCCCACCAATCCATCCAATTAAAACTAGAACCTTTTTAAATTTTTGTATTCAGCTAGGAGAAATATTCTTGATCCGATTTTGAAAACTTTTTTAATTTCAAAAACCAAACCTAAAACTAATCGGTCAATCCGCACCACAAACCCCACCTCCCATTAAAAGGTGCCAGTGTTTCTATTGTCCACTTTAAAGTGTTACATTTTTGTGGTTTTTGGCTAGGGCAGACATAGAAATGGAATAAAATTGTCGCGGTTGCTTTTTAGCGGTGGCGATCTTCAAGCGGCGACTGCCGCCAAATGCGAATCCTTCACACTCGACTGCCCGCAAATTGAGCAACGCGAGCCCGGTCCAGTCCGCAATGAAAATAATTGAAATTAATTACAGAAAATTAACAAAGCTGCATTGCTTGCGGTTTTGATATGATTTTCCGATAATCTGGACGCCAATTTGTGCTAATTGAATTTCCCTGCACCTCTGTGTGTTGTCTGTGTGTATTCCAGGTGGCCCAAAAGTCCTACGGCAATGAGAAGCGTTTCTTCTGCCCACCGCCATGTATCTATCTGTTCGGAAGCGGCTGGCGTCGGCGGTACGAGGAGATGCTGCAGCAGGGCGAGGGCGAGCAGGGGGCTCAGTTGTGCGCATTTATCGGAATCGGAAGTAGCGACCAGGACATGCAGCAGTTGGATCTCAATGGCAAGCAGTACTGTGCGGCCAAGACGCTCTTCATCTCCGACTCGGACAAGCGAAAGCATTTCATGCTGTCTGTGAAGATGTTCTACGGCAATGGGCATGACATCGGCGTGTTCAACTCGAAACGGATCAAGGTGATATCCAAGCCGTCCAAAAAGAAACAGTCGCTGAAAAATGCCGACCTGTGCATAGCCAGCGGCACCAATGTTGCCCTGTTCAATCGCCTGCGTTCCCAGACCGTCTCCACCCGTTATCTTCACGTGGAAAACGGACACTTCCACGCCTCTTCAACTCAATGGGGTGCTTTTACGATACACCTGCTGGATGACAACGAGTCCGAATCGGAGGAGTTCCAGGTGCGCGACGGTTACATCCATTACGGAGCCACGGTAAAGCTGGTGTGCTCTGTTACGGGCATGGCCCTGCCCCGGCTGATCATCCGGAAGGTGGATAAGCAGATGGCCTTGCTGGAAGCCGACGATCCTGTCTCGCAGCTACACAAGTGTGCCTTCTACATGAAGGATACGGACCGAATGTACCTTTGCCTGTCGCAGGAGAAGATCATTCAGTTCCAGGCCACGCCCTGTCCTAAAGAGCCAAACAAAGAGATGATCAATGACGGCGCCTGCTGGACCATCATCTCCACGGATAAGGCTGAATATCAGTTTTACGAGGGCATGGGTCCCGTGGCGTAAGTACAGCTTATTCTCTTATCAATCGGCTGGTTTACATGATGCCTTATGATTCCCCTTTAGTTCCCCAGTCACTCCAGTGCCAATTGTTAATTCTCTGAATCTCAATGGCGGCGGTGATGTGGCCATGCTGGAGCTTAGTGGCGACAACTTCACGCCGCATCTGCAAGTGTGGTTCGGCGATGTGGAGGCGGAGACCATGTACCGCTGCACGGAGACGCTGTTGTGTGTGGTGCCCGAGATTTCCCAGTTCCGCGGCGAATGGCTTTGGGTAAGTTTTCAGAACATAAATTCTTTAAATATTTACTAAATGCGACGTTTCTTATCCTGTAGGTACGACAACCCACACAGGTGCCCATTTCGCTGGTGCGCAACGACGGTATAATTTACGCCACTGGTCTGACCTTCACTTATACACCTGAGCCGGGTCCTCGGCCGCATTGCAATACCCAGGCCGAAGATGTGATGCGGACGCGACAGAACAATAATAATAACAACATCACTAGCATTAGCAACAATAATAACAGCAACAACGCGGGATCACCGGCAGGCGGCAGTATGCAACAGCAGCAGCATCAGGCGCTGCCCTCCATCTCAGAAGTGCAATGGAATAGTCATGGTAGCGGCTTGTCCTGAGTGCAGGATTATTGCGTCGCACATTTATGTATCCTAAGTTATTTATAGTTTTTATTGGAGACCTTAGTTTGTAGATTGACGATTTTTCTCATATTAATTTTCCACCTCTCATGACGTGAACGAAATGTGTCCCCTTCTCTCTAAAGTAAATCATCCTACATACATGTATCTAGTGCTAGTTTGGAACCAATAGATTTGTAAATGCAACATATAACTCTGTACATAACTCGAAAAAGCTCACTGACATATATATTTGTATGTGCATGAATATACATCTACACAGAACATATAATTCTAGTTAAATATACAATTTATATAAGATTATAGAAGATTTTTAGCAGCGGTTGAAATATTTATGATTTTCGTTGCTATGAATTTCTAAAGACTGCCAAAAGGAAAAAGTACTTCGAAATACCCCAGAAAACCTGGAGCCTGCTTTATAAAATACCAGGAAGTAGCCACGCTACATAAATACATTCCAATTCACCCTTAAACTTTATATAAAGTCAAAGACAAAGTCAAAAGGGAAAACTTTTTCTGTACATACAGTTTTGTTGCATTTTTTAAAATAATTAACTCTTTGGAAATTCGTAGCACAAAAAGTTTCATATAATATTTTGTATAATAAAATCGCAGAAAGACAAGTCGGCGATTTATTTAAGACTAAGCAAAAAGCCCAATATGAATAAAAAAAGAAGAAAATCCGAAATTATGACAAAGAAAAATCAACCAAATCATGTCAGCTTATGTTTTTTATTTGGCGTGATTATTCTTCCTCACTCCTCTTGGGTGGACTGAGGTGGAGAGCTGGGGGAGGATTGGTAGCCTTAAATTGCTGTGGGAATATGGCCCAGTATCGTGTGAATATTTTTAAACAAAACAAGTGCAGCTCTTCCCACGATGGCTTGACTCAACCCCCTTAGCGGGGCCGACTTTAATTATAGTTTGGTCTGGATTGGTGAACGCCAAGTTAAGAAGCAAATATACATAGATATATAACACTATTGTTTCCGTTTTGGCCAAGTTAAGGAGCAGAATTTTCTCACAGCCCAAAAAGCCGCTGCTGAGCTGCTGTGAGAATTTTACTACCTTTTGTTGAATATTTATGCAGTCGTTGCTGCTGTCTTTACAGATTTACAAATTAAGATTCGCGGTTTTGAATTAATTATCGCTTACTTCCGCTCGGCGGAATCAGAAGGTGAGCTGACCAAGCATTTAAACTTATCTTCAAGTTGGGAGACATAATTCTTATCAGAGTCAGCCAATAGGAACTTGGTTGCAACCCCTAAGATTTCACTGCACCGTGCGATGGGAACGAAAGACTTAAACAACGAACTTCGGTTGCGTGAGGAAAACTGGCCTTTTCATGATGATGGAAAAACCACCACCAAAAGTTCCGAGACTCACAATTGGAACTGCAACCTCTTAAGGTCGTCGCCGTCTTATAAGAAGCTGAATATGAAATTAGTTTGGAATTTTTAATGAACAATTCCTTCACATTTCCCCGGGCCTCTTTCTCCCCCACTGTTTGGACAAGTGAGTGCGATGATTGCGGTCGCTTTTAGAAAGGGGGGAGACAGCAATTTCTAAAAGTTCTCAGGACTGCTACACAACTTCATACCGACTACTAAAAAAGTTAATTATCTTGAAAAATCTAAGTCTACCAGCCGTCTTAAATCGTTTGCCTGCTGCTGACTGCTGCCGTTTTTCACACGCTGGGGAAAAATGGAAATTCTCGCAAAATACAATGCGTGGGAAATTTGTGGCGTGGGAGTCAGCCAAGAAAATCAAGGGAAGCTATATATGCAAGTCCTATATAAAAAGTTACTTACAAGACTTTGGACACGTACACTCTTTTATACACGGGTGGAAATCCAAAGCCGTAGGTCAAGATTGGTTTATCGATTGCTTAGTCGATTGGCAAATCTATACTCATTGTAAATTTTAAGGCTATTCGTATAGATGTAGATATTTATGAGCCTTTTTTTAATGAGCAGCATTTAGGAAAATTTATTATAAAAGTTAACACATTAGTCAAACAATCCATTCAACATTAACACACAAAGTCCGTGCTTTTATTCAATGCTATTTTTGACTCTAAATCTAAAATTCATATATTTTATTGGTACTTAGGTAAGTTGTAAAACTCTTAATAAGCCCTTATATGAACTAATTGGTTAAAACGATAATATTTTCTCTAATTGGAATTAACCAAATACAAAAAATACAGTACAATAAAACAAGAGTTTTTGTTTGTTCGAAAAAACACATTTCCCACCTAATTTTTTTTGTAACATTTCTGATCAGCTTAAAAAATTTAGTTTTAAATATCTTGACAATATCTTGACTTGTCTTGGCCTCATGCATATCAAGAAACCTATATATGGCAGCTTAAATTACCCCTGCAATTCACGGGTCATTTAGACGTTAAGTTTAGACATTTAGATAATCAATCTTTATTTTCCTATAATAATCATCATTTCGTGATTCACAAAACCACGATTTATTGAACATTTCCAAAATTTGTAATTTGTTAGAAAATAATATTGTGGATGAAAATGTTCCAACGATATACATAGTATATAGGCGAATATGATTCCTTGAATCACTATTTCCACAAATTATTCTGCTTAACTTAAATCAATCAATATAAGGGTCATTGCGACCGTCCCATTCTGAATAAAACTGCCAAGTAAATTGTATATAATTTATTAAATAATTGAACATTTCTATGTATTTGATACAAAACGTCATCAGTACAGATATGCAGTTAGGATATACAAAGAGATAGATGCAAAATGCATAGATACAAATGCTTATCTATGGATATGTAAGACCTTTTCTTCATACAAAACATCGTATTTAATAATTTAACCGGAATGTGCCATAAGAATAACTAAGAGAATAATTGCAAAATTTATACAATAAAAACAAACAAAATTGGAAATTGGTTTGGTATAATCGATAGCTGAACAAGGCCAAAATTGGAATGAATTCTCTGAGGAGGGAATGCAATTAGAGCAAAGGGTGCTGGGTATAAGGAATGACTTACAACTAGAAAGTACTAGGCATGTATAAGTTATTGCAATTGTAATTTATAATTATTATAAATATTTGCGGTAATTGTAGGATTTACTAGTTGGGTCGTATTGTTCGATTCTTGTTCATATTGGTCAACATCAACGAGATATATGAAGTTAGCAGATCGTCCATCTTGTAGCCCAGCGACGTTTCACATAATAGTTTCGAGCCCCTTACCAGATTTCCGATAGTCATGTGGAAATATGTATTGCCCGAGGACCAGTTCGAGATGCGTGTAAAAGGATGCGTGACCAATATGTCCTGCAAATAGAAATAAAGTTACCATTACAATTACATTTTTGCAATTCCAATTTTGTTTGTGTACAGATTTTATAAATGTAAACAATGAATAGAAAACCAATAAATATAATTATAACTTTTTTTAGTATAACACATATAAATAAAATGAATTCATCCCGCCAATAATTATATCAATGAAAAAGTTCTTACCTTGGTCACTGGATGAATGAGACTCACGCCGTGTTTGTTAATGGCTATTAGTAGCATTTCGGGATAGTTCGGTTCGGTGGTTTGTTTCACCTCGAAGAACGCGGAGCCAAAGGTTGGCCATCTGCTCGAATAGAAAAATGTTAAGAAATCACGTTGTTCAATCTTATCTCTATCGACCCATACCTATATACGATCTTCAAGAAAGCCACCTTGGCATCTTCGGAAGTCATGCCGCCATCCTGGTTATAAGAGGCCACAATCGATCGTTTCCATTCGCTAGTGCTTTGCATTTTCATTATATCCGATGGGATAAGGTCCCTCAGCATTTGCCTAAAGCAAGGAATTCTAAAGTTAGATTACCGAACACGGTGGGAATAAGATTCTTGGCTTACGGTATGGCCTGGAGTTCTTGTTTATTTTCACCGAAGCGCACGCGGAAGACAAGAGCAGCGAGCTTGGCCGCCTCCTCCCTGGAACACTTGTGATAGCCGCGCAACAGCTTGGGTAACTCCTGGTGATAGTGGAAAATGAGATCGGCATTCCGATCCTTGCCTGGCACTGTGTTTGTCCACAGTTTCTTCATGAAGAAGACCTGGTAGGTGAACTGCGGATTCGCCCCATCTCGTATGGGTCTCGCCTTCTTTATCCAGTCGGTCAGATGGCGCACAAAATCGAAGAAGAAATCGCCTTCGGGCACGGAGATGACCTTATCGGCAATCTTTACAAACAGGGAGAAGCCCTCGCTGGTGCGAAGCGATAGGCGTTGCGAGATGTTGTTGCAAAAGTCCTTGGCCCGCGTGGAGCTGTCCACCTCGAAGGCTTCGTCCGTATCGTCTGGGAAGTAGACCTTGTGGAAGATCTGTGTGGTTTTGTGCTGTATGGCCTCCACCTCCACCTGGTGAGGTGGATACTTGCGTTGTCCATGGCGTATGGTCTTTTGCAGTCGATGCATTGAGTCCTGCAAATTAAATTAAAGATTTATTAATAGCTTTTGTTAATGAATTACATATTTTTTGTTGTTAAAAATAATACCTGTGAGATGGGATGGCGACGACTGCGCAAGAACAGCAGCAACTCCTTGAGCAAGCCTTGCGAGCAGGCAAACAGTCCAGTCGCCAACCACATCAGCTCCCAGCCCCTCTCTTCGGACATGCGGTTGCGGTTATCCGTTAGCTGTTTCATCAATTGACAGTATATCTCATCGCGCAGAATTTCGTGCTTAAGCGGTCCATCAAATATGTGATCCGTGATTTCGTTTCCCATCCGGGGACGCTTTGAGGGCAGATCTCCCATGTACTTCAGTATGGCGGCGAAGGCGAAGCAGGCTTCCTCGGCAAACTCCTCTTTGCTTTGCAACTTGCGTAGCAGCGGCGCCTTGATGGGATCCCGGGCATAACGCCAAAGTTCCTCACTCCGTTTCGAACTCAGGGTGAGAGTCTTAGACATGGTGCGTTTTGGGGGCAAACGGAAATGATCCAAGGAATACTCCATCAACGTATGTGGTCGATCCCGTGGTTCAACCGCTCCGCCATTGGAAGCCATACTTAAACGGCGACCATGATGGGCCTCCTCGATGTTAAACAGGGCGAGAATATCCTGTGGTGGTTTGCTAAGCGTGGGCAGAACATACACCGTTTCGGCGGGGAAATCACCACGCTCCTGAGAGCGATCGCAACGTCCTATGCACCAGCCATTGTTTAGTACTGATTCGCCACACGATTCGTCCTCAAGTATGATCAGATCGCCCTTGAAGAAAGACAGGAAACTCGTACCATCCGAAGGTGCACGATAGTCTTGCAGAGCTATAACAAATTTCGAACTGAAAGCACAGAAAACATAGTTGATTAATTTGTATTCAATTATAGTTACTCTTAAATAATACAAATTAATTTTCGAATTTTAGGATTTAATTGAAATATTTTTTTCAGGTACTCACCGCTTTTTCAGGCCATCTAAGAAATAGACAACCAGATCTCGAATATCCTCAGCATTGGGACTCTGAAACGTGAACTCCTCGCCTCGAACCGTGGATAGACTGAATGTCTGGGTGAACACTTTGTTTGTCTTCTGACTGGACACGGCAGTAATTTCAGGGAAGCTGAGTTCTAGCAGGACCTGCTCCTGATCGTCCACCACATAGACACCGGTCCAATTGACCGCAATAATTACATCGTTCTTGGGTAGAT